TATTGTATCCGTTTTAACAATTATAAGCCACCAAAATTATGTCATCATATCGTATCATTCTATTTCGTTAAAATTGTTACAGGGAATGAAAAATATGTATCCAGAAGCATCTTATATCAAATAAAAGATAATGAAGATGCCTTTAGGGATCATCAAGCTGAATCTTTCGAAACGTTAATCGATGATTTCAATAAAAACTCACTTAATGTAATCACATGATTATTTCAACTTAATATATTAAAAAAAATCTTCTGTAACCATTACTTAAAGCAACTTCATCTATATGATACGACCCTTGTTAAGTATAATATAACATTTGGTTAGATATAACATTGAAGTATTTATTTATACCTTACTGAATTTTGTGCACTTTGCAATAGATTCACAAAATTATCAATATTTAAAAATACTCTATTTATAACAATCACACGTTTGTCACATCTAAAACCTAGAAATGTGATCCGAAATATTTTTTAAATATATATGTTGTAAGTGTTGTAAGTGGGAATGGAATTAAGTAGATTTGGAATTTCTTAGTTAAATTAGTATTTCAAGGTGAAGTTTATTATATATAAACCCTACACTCTAATTCTAAAATTCTAAAAAATTCTATACTACTTAACTCCTGTTTTTACTTACAACATATATAAAAACCCGTGTTAATACAGTTTTTATAAAACCATAGTTACAGGCATTTCTACTAAATCAGGAATATCTAATATTCAAAACCCTAACAACCTGTAATTTTGATATGCATAATCTTAATATAGACAAAATCTTGACAAATAAAAATTTTAAAAAAGACAAAATCTTGACAAATAAAAATACTGAAAGTCAAAAATTCTGATTAGTCAAGATTTTGTTAGTTCAATATTTTGATAGTTAAAAATCTTGATAACCAAAATCTTGATAGTTAAATCTTGATAGACAAAAATTCTGATAGTTAAAATTCTGGATAAGAATCTAATAGTCAAAATTCTGAATAGTCAAGATCTTGATAGTCAAGATTCCAAATAGTCAAAGATCTTAACAGTTATAATACTAAAAGATTAAAGTTCTAAAATCACAAAAATTAATATTTAAGATATAATATTTTTATTCAAAACATGTGTATAATTTAATTTATTTGAAAATTTTAATCTGTATAGAGTCATAATTAAAAAATCCATTATTGTATATGCATTGGTATCAATAATTTAGAGTAGTGATTTGAACCGGTTGGGCTATAATCGGGTAACCGAACCGAATCGAACCAAACTCGGTTAACCGTTGAGTAAAGTTCTTAATCGGTTGACCTGGTACAACCGGTTGATAATCAGATTACTCGATTAACTGATTATTAAAAATCGAGATCGATATGATCATGAATGTATAATGCTTTCAAAACAACTTCGCTAGCAAAAAATTTAGAAGGCTTATCAATTTGAAAAATTGCCAAACGCTTAGGTGTTAACATATCTTCTATAAGTCAGGTTAAAACTTGTGTCATTTTAGGAAAACCACATTTACTAAACATAAAGTATGTCGACAAATTCTTGATTATATCTAACTTTTTTTTAAAAGTTTATTTTATATCCGAAGCCTTTTTTATGTTTTTTGTCAAGATTTATTGGTTGACAAGAACGGCCTTTTTCATAACTTTCGCATCCAAATGAAAGTTTAATAATGTTGAATGTGTCGACATTATAATGATAAGTTAACTGCAGAACGATATTACATGTAATATAAAAATATTATCTTTTATATACTGACATCTCTGACATAGCCGAATCGTCCGAAAAATCATTCGGCAAGTTTTTTAACTTGATGACCCGGTTGATATTTTTTGATCCAGTTGAGCCGGATAACTCGGGTCAACCGTGTCAACCGAAATAATTTCGATTACAGCTGTTTTCATAATTCCTGGGAACCTGTAAAAAATCTGCCGAATGATTTTCGGCCGATCCGGTTAAGTTATTATTTCGGTATAATAGATTCAGTAAAAGTTGTTATTGGATGCTTCGCATCCAATAACTATATATTATTCGATACCACGTATAGTTTTGATTTACATCACTTTTTGTATATGTATTTTAATAGTAAAGACTAACTTGAATGTTTTTAGATGTCTAGAGTGAATCGCTTTACCTTTTTCAATTATTTTAACATAAATCTATTCTTAAACACATTTATAACAAAATTACGTTAAAAAAGTTTAGGTTCTAATATTAATTTTTTTGCCTGCAACGAAAATATATCTTTTTTTTTTTAATAGTTCACGAGTTAAACAGAAATTTGTAAAGAGTCAACTTGAAATTTAAATATAAACATTAAAAAAATTCCAACATAACTTTGTTATAAACACGTTTAAGAATAGGTTCATGCTAAAATAGTTGAAAAAAAAGTAAAGTGATTCGCTTTAGAAATCTAAAAACATTCAAGTCATTCTTTAATTTTACATATACAAAGTGATAAATAATTCCGATCACTAAATTCTTCAATAATTAATTTTTATATGATACCACACATAGTTTTAATTTACATAGTTGATAGCGCACCCCAATTCTGCAAGTATTATAAAAAAATCTCCAATATTTAATTTTATATGATACCACACATAGTTTTGATTTACATAGCCCACAGCGCACCCAATGTCAAATGGTATGCATAAAATTCTTTAAGTTAAATCTTACATGTAATGTCTCAATCCAATATTTAGAACTTACATATGGTTAGGGTGGGTCCGGTTACGGCTATGACCGTTTAGCCGCGGTTATTGACTGTAACCGACACTGACCGGTCAGAGTGGCTTAGCCGACCGGTTGACTGATACAGTTAACTCTCTCTAAGTGCACATCCTCTAAGTGCACATCCTATGTAAATGCACGCCTTCTCTTGGTCCCAACTAATATTACACCTATATATTTTTAGCTCTCTAAATGCAATATCTCTCTAAGTGCATGTTTGGCAAAATTTTTATATATGGTCCCATCCAGGGACAATGATTTTCTGTGATTCACAGAAAAAAGCGGAATTTCTCTTAATCACAGCTAACCACAGAAATCACCTTAGTCACCGCAAAATATTACAGAATTCCAAAAAATGTGCAGAATATCACAGAATTCATAATCTATCGTAAGATTTGACAAGCCGGCGTCGGGAAATCCCGTAAAGGTAGACAATAAATCAACGTAAATTACGAGCTTGTC